CTTTTTTAAAACAAAATAGTATCCCAATGGATATGAAATGATGATTATGTACTTTTAACTGAACTTTTTTCTCTTGGGTCAGAACCATCGTATCACTTACTGGTTTGTGTATGGTCAATGCTGGTGTCACCCTCAGGAGGAATTTACACTGATGGATGAGGAAGCAGTCTGCTGCGGATGGTTCCTTTATCTGAGCATCACTGTACCATACTCCTTTTTCTTTCTGTCTTTGTTTCTTTCTTTGTTTCTTTGTTTCTTTCTTTCTTTCTTTCTTTCCTTCCTTCCTTCCTTCTCTCTTTTTCTCTCTCTGTCTTTCTCTTTTCTTTCTTTCTTTCTTTCTTTCTTTCTTTCTTTCTTTCTTTCTTTCTTTCTGACCTCTGGCATGACTCAGAAACTCTCTAGGATATAGTATCCAGAATCAAGACCCCACAGCATTCTTGAACATGATGATGACTCAGGACAGAGAAACAACTCTCAGGCCCCCAGGAGTATCTAATGGGCCACTGTAGAAAAGGCAATTCTCACCTTCATGGAGAGAGCAGTGTCACAGGGTGTTGCTACACTCATGCTGGTGGCTTTCAGCATACCCTGTAATTGAGTGAAGCAGGCATGACTTGAGAGCTCCCATTAATATCAACATGACAGTGTCATAACAGAATTCTGTTATTTATTTGAAATTTTTGTGAATTCTTGAGTCAAAATTAGGTGACTGTTACTTGTTCTGTTTCTAACAGATGGATAAAATTCTCCTTAATTTCCATTCAGCTTATATATTTCCATAAACAAGATGAGCAAGTGATAAGGCCAATGAAACTGTTTTCAGCTTTAAAGCCTGGGCATGTTCAGAATCATTATTTCTGTTCCTGTGGTCTCTCATACATTTTGTCCATTGCTTCATGGACTCCGTGTGATGTGTGCCTTTCATGTGTCATACATCTTTGTTTGGAAGAATAAACATGTCAAATAGAGGCTTAGAGGAAAGCGATTTTGGACTTAGAAAGTAATGGAATGAATCACTTTGTGTCCTTAAGCTATAGGATAGCTTCCTATTTTAAAACCTCTCATTTGGTTATGCAAACACAGGTGAACCATGGTCTTTGAAAATGAGTCTCCATCTTAGTGGATTACTAAACAGCTGTGCTTCCTAACAGATGTTTTCATGGGCCGAGAGTTTGGCCTCAGAGAGACCAGGGAGCAGGAAGAATCCGTCACGGTTCGTGTCTCTACTTCCATTCAGCTGAGTGGCAGCTGTGTTTAATTTGCTTTCCTGCTTGCACAGTCAGGAAGATACTTACTGGAGGAGCTCCATGTGACAGATACCACTTGGTTCTCCTCCTCTCCAACTCCCTTTGCTCTGTATAGCGTGGTCATGTGAATTCCTTTAAAATTTAAAATGGAAAGAAGGATAAAAATAATATCCCCCAGTGTTAAGCCAGAGGGAAACCTAAGCTGGCCATCTCCATGTAAGCAAAGTGCATTCTTTTATTTTACTGAGTCAGTTTTCTTCTTTCTCTCCAACTACTCTAGAAAGACCACTCAAATATTTTCACTATATTGTCTTACAAACTATGCATTGCTCAATTTTGTTAATCACTTGAAACTAAAGGTCAAGGCCAGCCACCAGTGGTTTTGGAATCTCTGGCCATTGCTTGGTTTTCTGGGACAATTTTTTTCTTAGGCAAATGCTAGGTGACAACTCCGAGGTCCCTTTTCCCTGTTCTCGCTCAAGGTGGAGGCAACAGTTGAGCTTTCTCTCCTGAGAGTCACAGGCAGATTCTTTTCTCTTTCTTGGTTATAAGTCATTTCTAAATCATGAATTTTCTGACAAGCTTAAAGGATCTTTATCCAACTCAGATAACCCTGTGCAGACTGCAAACAGTGACCCTCATCTTGCTCCTGAATGAGTCCATTCATGGAAAGGGGAACTTCCAAGTGAGGAAGGAGTGTGTGTGTGTGGTGGGGGCTGCTAAGGCACTGGAGAAAGTCATCTGTGAGTAGGTGGAGGTTTTGCCGCTCCACAAATTATACCAGGCAGTGACTGCCAGTTCATTTCCAAGATAAAATTTGAAGTAAGAAAATGTTTTGAGATGTATATAGAAACACTTCCAGCTAGAGGTATGTAAATTGCATTGATGTGTAAATGTAAATAGAAAGACATATACAAAACCAAATTGTCGTTCCAAAGGGATTTGATAAATAAGGGTTTTCTTAACAGTATTCCTCTGAAGGTAGATAGGTTTTTGATTTTTTTTTTTTTAAAAGAGAAAGGCCCAAATGCTGGAATGATGGAGTAGGAAACCAGAATGCTTATTTTTCCTTCAGAGCACCATCTCCATAATAAACTATGATGAGGGGAAGGTGCTGCTGTGACCTCTTTCCTTTAGTAATTGATCTTTCTAATTCCAAGGAGTGAGGATGACTTTGTGTTTGGGGCAGTAAGCAGATCTTTAATCTGTGCCTTCACAGCACTGCTTTGTAATCTTTCCTTGGGGAATTTTGCAGTCAAGATGCATCGGCAGGAACAAGGTAGGAAGAGGAGTCCTCTAAGGGAGCCCCTCCTAGGAGCAGACTGCCTTCTCTGGGCACTGCCTGGCAGCCAAGGACCCCGTCTCTGCTTGCTGCTACCTCCTGCTCCTGACTCCGCCTGGCAGGCAGGCATGCTGGGCTCAGCAAATAGTCTGTGGCAGCCCCAGAGAGCCCTTCACCCAGAGCAGCTACGCTTCCGAAGGGATGCTCACTGTAAAAGATTTTCATTTATTAACTTTTCTGTGGATGTTTCCTACTTACTCATTTAGTTTTTTGCTTACTCAGTGCCAAGGATGCGTTTCCTTTTTTAAGAAAGTATACTTTTTTTTTTTTAAAACAGGGACATTGTATTATAGCTACTTTAAAAAGTAACTGATGAGAAAGAGAATCATCCCTGGTTCTACTTCCATAATACGGCCGACCCATTTCTTCATCTTTTGGGTTTATATAAGTGTGTGCGCACATATGTAAATACTTTGTTGTTATGTACCCTTTTCCTCTCATATGAAAAATCTTGGCATCAGCTCTAATATTCTTTTTCCCCTGAAATTCTGGGAGTGGATATGACACAGTGAAAGGAAAGGAGGCTGTGGAGTCAAGTGAACCTTATGAGTCTTGGTTTGACCACAGAATGGGTGGACGACCTCAAACAAGACTCTCCTCTTTAGTCCATCCATCCATCCCTTTGTTTTGCATGCTACCTTTCCTTTCTCATCCATAAATGTCATTGTGTGTGAGACTAGGGATCTACCCAGTGTTTTCCCATCCAAAAATATGGGTATCAAAGTATATTAAATAGTGTTGCTATGAGCATTCAATTTGATAATGCATATGAAGGGCCTTAACAAAAAGCCCAGCATACAATAGATGCTCCCTACATAGTATCGTGTGGTCAGTCAGCAAGTCTCATCAGTTCTACAATTTCTCTGGTATCATTACCTCTGTTTTTTTAGCAGTCTGAATAATGATGGGCGATTATTTTCACATCTAGGCTATGCAAGAGGCTTCTAACTGGACCTTTAAATCCCTCTCATCACTCCCCCATTTGCATTTTTAAATCCTTGCTTTGCGTGTGTTACTCTTTGTTATAAAACTTTCAGTAGCTTCCAGTGTTTATCAGAGATACTGCAAATTTCTTCATGGCCATTCTGAGCAGTATTCATGCCTCTAAGCAGTCTCCCAGTACTTGGCTTAGTCCTCAGCCTCCTCTGGGGACTCCAGCTCTCAGCAAACCTGCTGACATAACTCACCCTCTTGAGACTCCATCTACCAACACATGTGCAGGGAGCTGCATTATCGTGGATGAGAGAAGAAAGTAGTGCATGAGCCATGAATCTAAGAAGTTCTAGTCTTCTTTGTGCAGTGTCCTAGTTTTTTCTGCTGCTGTAATAGAATACCTGAGACTGGATAATGTCATTAATCCTACCCAGGATGGTTCAACACTCATGGCCTAGTAGTCTCTCTATGGTTTTACCTCCCAGTACCACTACACTGGCAATCAAATTTCAGGATGAGTTTTGCAAGCAACGTGTGTCCTAACCAGAGCATGCAGTAGAGACTTAGGACTTTCCCAATTCTGCAGAGGCTATATTATTTGTAGGCATGTCTGTTACTCAAAAAATACCAATAGTAATGTAGAGGTTTCTCTTGAAGGAAACATCAGGTCATTTATTTTTATGTCTTCTATATTATGCCATCTGAGAAAACCCTTTAGGGATTACTCATTTCTTTTAACAATTAAATTATCTTATGGATTCGTCACCAGGAATAGTTACCAAAATCATGTTAACTTGGCAAATACTTGCTTTGTACTAGATTGTGCCCTATTTGTAAGGATTCTCCCAACTGGTAGCAGCATCTGTACCAAATAGGCGAATACTACACTAGAAGATGTTGGGTTGTACCTCAACAGATTTTCATTTCAACAAATCATTGCCTATAGATTTGGCTAGCATGGTAATGAGTTCTTTACATTCAGAATTCTGCTAAAGAAGCCCAGCAGCCCACAATTGGGGATAGTCATATATTATTTATAATAAATTGTTCTCTTTGAATTTAATTTTTATTTTACCTACAGAATATATAAAGCTTATGTAGAGTGTGTGTGTGTGTGTGTGTGTGTGTGTGTGTGTGTGTGTGTGTTTGGCATAAAACAGTGCAAAAATACTGTATTTTAAATTTTTTATTTCTGTTTAGGAAATTGTCTTTAAATCTCTGGCTCCCCTGTCCCTCAACTCAAGACAGTAGGAGCCATAACATGGGTCTCCTTTGTTCCTGTGACCACTGGTGTCTTATACCCATTGTCTGTGAATCCAGTCAGCACAAAATGTTGCTAATTTTTTAATGAAATATCTTCGATTAATGTTTATAAGGTTCTTTGTTAAAGTTAAAATGACTGCTACTAGTTTGGTTAAACAAAGCTAATATATTAAATCTAGAGCATTCTAATTTTCATTTTCTCTTCTCTCCACCAGTTTGCTGTTTTGTGGTTCACAAGAGGTGCCATGAGTTTGTTACTTTTTCTTGTCCGGGTGCAGATAAGGGACCTGACACTGATGTAAGTAGTCTGGAAAACATTATCTGATGTTAATGTGAAATTCTGATATTTGTTATTCTTTTAATGCCTGTGCATTTGTTGTTCTGGCCCATATTACTAATGAAAAGACTTCTCAATTATTCTTATGTAAATTTGGCTTGTGCTAATGAACAGATTTATGGTCCTTTTGAGCCCTGGACTGTTTCTCAGAGAAATTCTCTAGGGGGAATTATTGGCTTGTGCTTTTCCACTCTGAGGAGCCACATTGACTAAATCTACCAAATTTATAGCAGTAGCTATGTTGACAAATTTTGCAATGAATATAAATCATCCTTAAGTTTATTTGTAGAAGTTTATGTACTAATAGGACCATCATTGGCTTTGGCCAATAAAACAAACTGCTCCTAGTTTGCTTCATGAGATTTGTGTCTGCTTTTTCATTGTGTATAATTGCTACTGTTGATGGACATAACAGCGTCTGTTTCACTAGCAGTGATCTCTGAAGCTGCCCAATTAGTTCATTTATTTGTATCCTAATTCTGCCTGTCTCTGCGTGTCTCTGTTGTCTCTCTTCTTACCAAAAGATGATGAGATCAGAAAGGAAGAGAGAGGGAGAGATAGGTAGGAGATAGGACATACCAATGTCTAGATATATTAGGTAGAAGGAAACTTTAGTGTTACATGAAAAATTATGTTTTAACTGAAAAAAAATTTGCAAGGTAGGTCCAGACTAGTTGATATTTATATTCCTGAATTGCTTTTGCCAGCTCAGTTTAGTTACACATCCTTAAATTATTGTATTCAGAGGAGATAGCTACCTTGTTTAGCACTTGTTCCCTTCACAGAAGTTTGATTGTGAAGAGACTTTCTCATTGTAGGAAGGCTAATGTCTTCCCTTCTCAGACTGTGACATTTCTATAGTGGGCTATGAAAGATACAGATCTGTGTTGTTCTAACATCTGTGGGAACTTGCTACAGTTTTCTAAGGTGCCAGCAGCGACTGCATTAAGTGTGTTTATACGCTCTGGGTCACCACAGAGGCCCATCATAGGACATGGAGCCAGAGGACATTTCCAAGGTCACGTTATTTTACATTTTTTGGAGGAGGAAGCTAGTGTTCATGAATGCTAAGTTCATTTTCCCCTCCATTTCACATATTTTCCTTTTTTCTGAAATATTATCTCCATGTGGAAAATTTTAGATATTAAAAATAGAAGATAGTATACCAACTTTTCTAAACAGCTAATTCCTACTGCTTTTGTTATTAAAGATCTACAAAAGCATCATGTAGTGATCCTTTTACTTTGTTCATTATTCCTACCTTTGTCCTATTTTATCTTTTATCACTCCACTTCTAAAGCTTGACATTGCAGTCTCTTCAAAAATGGAAGAAAGCACGGCAGGCGACAGGATTGTGACACCTTCCCCTTCCCCTGTTCCTTCTTTTGATTACATATACTTTCTTAAGAATGTAAGTGTCAAACTCTCTCCTGGGCTGTAGGATAGAAGAATCAACACAGAGGTGTGCTCTCAGGCCTCTGTGGAGGTTCTGACTAAACACTGAAGAGTCCCTAATGAAAATAAGATACAGGGGCACCGAGCAGAGTTCCTTCAGTTACCCACTCTAGGTGACCAGCGGAAGCTTCTCCAGGAAAATGGCCTTTAAACTGAGATTTAAGAATGGATAGGAAGTAGGCAGGAAAAAGGGGGGGGGGGAGAGAATGGATGTGTGCAGCCATGTCTGTGTGTGTGTGTGTGCGTGCGTGTGTGTGTGTGTGTGTGTGTGTGTGTGTGTGTCTGCATGCTGGGGTGTAAGGCCCTAGAAGGAACTGTTTTAGACAAAGAGAAGAACAGATGAGAAACCAAGATATGAGAAGGAGCTCTGTCTACGAGAAACTGAGAAAGCCTGGCATCTGCTGTGTTATTAAGACTTGGGAACACAGCCTCAGGAGCAGCGGGGGCCCAGGGACAGTTTTAAACAAGCAGTGATGGAATTCCATGTGTGCATCTTATAAAGATTACTCTGGGCTCCTAATAGGAAATGAATTGGGCAGGAAGTGAGTGGCACACTAGTAGAGATGGAGGAGTATCAAGGGCTGGAAAACGGATGCACAAGAGCCTGCTCTCTAGGCAAGGCAGTGGGAGCTTGGAGGAGGCAGAGAAGATGGGCATAGAAAAAGTAAACATGTTCAAGATACATTTAGGGGCCACAGCAGCAGTTCTTGGTCGTTATGGAATCACAGATATGGAAGTGTCAGAAGTGATTTCCAGCTTCTGGCCTAAAACATAGATGCATGGGGATGCTTCACAGCCATGAGGACTATGGAAGAAGGGAGCATTTTCTTGTTTTGCCCTTTTCTGAATAAGTTTCAAAATCACAGAATTATAGCGCTAGAAGGAGTGTTAAAGATTGATCTAGGTTGATAGATCTAGATTGATCTATTTGGTCAGTAGGACAAAGTGGAGAAAGGGAGAACTGATCTGGGTACCATCATGTCTTTTGAGTATCTAACTGGTTTGCGACTGTCTCTTTTGAGGAGTTACTCATGTCAGGAAAGAGAGAGAGAGGTCAGTGGGTGGTTGGGTTTTGGTTGGTAGAGCACACTGATTAAGTCTGACTTGATGTACTCATTGAAAGTTCTATTTAGATGCTCAGAAGAACAAATGATCAAGAAAAATGAAGTGGAATTTTTTCCCTTAGAAAATTTAGAATTCTGGATTGAGATTTTTTTTTTCTTGTACTGGAAATCAAACTCAGAACCTCGTGCTTGGCAGGCAGGCACTGTGCCACTGAGCTCTACCCTGGCCTGAGGTTTTTCCCTCCTGTGGGGAATGATTAAAATGTGCTGCCTGTGTACAGCTGAATAATGCCTGTACTGAGCTCACAAACTCCAAGGCACTCGCTGATGTGGGGAAGAGTTACGAGGATTATGTGAAATGCACAAATACTGCACCTGCCTTGCTGCCTTCAAGAGGAAAAGTACTAAAAAGTAAACCCTCGGTGTCCAGAAGCCAACAGTCCACTAGAGAGCATTCCAGGTTCTTTTAAACAGCAAAGCTCCTCAGGGCTCAGGTTGCAGCCATAGTTGAAAGTCTGTGTTAGGTTGGGGGTTCTTGAAGAAGAAAGAGTTCTGGGCTCAGTGGAACACTCCTTGAGGATTCCCAGGCCAGTTTCTTAGCCCTTTTTGCCCCTCTGTGGATAGGCAGCTTTCTATGGCTTCCCAGCATAGCTGGAGAAAAGAGGAACTCTTAAGTATAACCCCCTGCCCACTGAGCAAAGAGGAAAGGCCGTGACAAGGCTGTTAGGGTCCTTGTGTTAGAGGTGAACTGGCCACTGACGCTGCTGAGCCAGGACTCTCCAGCTCTTCAGAGCGCTGCTGCTGGAGCGTGTGGCTCCCAGAACAAGCAGTGCTCTTCCCACTTGGCATTGGCAAGAGCCTGTGAGTCTAGGCAGAGCGTGTGTTTTCAGGTGTGCAGCCTCAGAATGCAGCCTGAGGCTCTGCCTGCCACCTCTCCCTTCAACTTTTTGAAAGACAGCAATACAGAAGTTTTAAAAAATCAGCCCATGTTTTAGAAATAGCTTTTTCTTTTTTTTTTTTTTTTTTGCCAAGTTAAGATGTCGACTGGGACATGAACAGATACAGGGGAGTATGGCTTTGTTTTGCTGTAGGTACTGAGGGAAGTATGTGTGACTTTGCTCTGTGGAGGAACAAGTGCTGTATTTCCTTTCCTGGTCATTGATTGCAAGCCCTGAATAGGTTGTCTTCCCTGTGCTGGCTGTGATGCGGTAGATGGAGAAGTCTGTGGGAAGTTCTGCAGGGTCAGTTCTTTCCCAGACTTCTTGTACCTTTCACTTCTTAAAATTCTAGGTTACCAGCTCTCTGTTGCTCAATCTGGAACTCCTCCGTGTTCTTAGAATGGTGTCCATTCATCTTAAATTATGTCTCTTTACAAGAACTGCCAGAGGGAAAACAGGGCATTTAGGCCTTCTAGTACATAATGTATGGACATGTGTGTAGATATTTATTAGCACACTCAACCCTCTTTTTTCTCGGTGTTCTGTAAGTGAGAAAAAGCTGTGACTCAGCTTTTTCTGAGAATCATAGCAATCTTAGACCTACTGTTAATTCCATGATGTACAACCCTCCCTCCTGAAACAGTTTAGTCTGGAAAGCTGTACAGAGAGAAACCATTCTTATGTAACGCAAATGCTACACTATTTACTCTATATATAATCTTTGGAATATATATATAGTAAAGGATAAAGCAGCATTAGATAAAGCAGTGGTGGGGGAGCTCAACAAGCTGCAGGAATTGGGAGAGTATTTTTGTTTGCATTTTCTGTTGAGCTATTCCATTTTTATTTTCCTTGTACATTTTTACCAGTGGTTCTGACCTGTCTAGGGAAAACCTGTTTATACAGTATCTTGAAACTTCCTATCTAAACCATGCAATTGAACAGAATTTAGGTATATCCTGGGTTATCACTTGTGCTTCACCTGGGAGACCACCAGTAGACACATAGGTGGTGTCACAAGTTTACTGATGCTTGCCAGAATGTTTAGAAGGGCACTCAACGAAGAAATTAGCTAACTTGTAAGTAGGCAGGGAGGTTTGCCTTGGGTCTGGACACACCTTCGATTCTGTGAGGATGGTAAAACCAACCCACTTGAAGTAGCTGAGTGCATTGACCGACTGCAATTTGAACCATAAATGGAACATATTGCACAAATTGCTGAAAGACAAAAATGGCATCCTAAAAAAAGGCTACTGGACTGCTTAAAGTTAGCATTTCACAAGTTCATTTATTACAAAATTTAAAGCCTTTAAAATAAAATCTAGAAATACATTTAATTTGTGAATCATCTGGGATTTTTTCCCAAAGTATACTTTTAATGTGGAAGTAAGACACTTTTGAGAGCAAAGCTAGCTATATTCAAAACATGTTTGTGTTTCTGAGCTGACAAAATAGTGAGATTTGCGTAAGGCCCAGGTGCAGCAAAGTTGTGTAAGATACACAG